TGGTGGCCGTTGTCTCAGCACTGGGCAGGCGGGGCTTGTGCGAAGCGATGAGGAAGTGTCCACTCTGCTGTAGTTTCCCGCTGGACGTGTGCAGGCCCAGGAGGAGTCAGTGCTTTCACAGAGGCAGCCTCTCAGTCCTTGTCCTGAGATCACAAGGGTCAGAGAGGAGAGTCCAGCCCCACCTCATCCCCGCCCACCTGAAGAAGTCCTCGCTGCCAGGCTCAGAGCACAAGGACCCTGTTTGCGGCACAGTTTTACCCAGTAGTGCATAGCTTCAAACATTTATATATTTTTAAAAATCCAGCCGGTAAATTCTAAAGTACATTGCATAAGTCACAGGAAAACTTACACACACAACTTATCTAAGTGTTATAAGAAATTGGCCAGTTAAACTTGGATTTAAATGATGAGCTTTCCTCTTCCTGGCTTTATGCAGGCACTTTACCTGCCTGGATCTCAACTTGTTTATCAAATAAGAATAACGTCTCTCTTGTGCAGACACAGTGCAAACATTTTATTGTCTGTCTCAGTAGCACACAGCAACGTACACTGGTACCCAGTCCCCGCCTGTAATTCCGTTTCCTCCTGTCCTGCACACACACATTTTCTGGGTGACTCAGGCAGTAACTCTGCCCTCTGCTGACCTGAGACCACTTACAGCCTTTACACTGTTTATCGCATTTAAGGCAGTCATTTGTTTCCATGTCAACACATTAATGTATTTGATTATCATGATTAGCAAGTAGTACCACGTGTGCTCTGTGTTTTGTTTCTAAAGGATTGAAAATTCTTTTTAATTGTCTCTATCAAAGTACATAGTGGAAAAAATTTAGAATGTTCTCAACTCAAGGAAATGACAAATGTTTGAGGAAATAATGTAGAACTTTCCTTAAACTATCACACTGTGCTTGATAAATACTATTATTATGTGTTCATTAAAATAAATATTTAAAAAATATTTTTTAAAGATTAAATGTTCTGGATCCCTAAACATATCTAGGTCCCACGGATTAAGAGGCTCTTCTCTCTCCCTTGCTCTCTCTCTGAATATATATATATTTACTCTCTATACTATGTGTAGTATAGCACATACAGTGCTATGTCAGTTCACAAGCTCAGTTCTCTCCCTGGTTCCGGTTGCAAACTGAACTGCCCAAGAGTGGAGTCAAATTTTCGCCATCAAGTCAACATTGAACCTCACCACTGGATTTGATACAGCTCTTGTCCAGCTCAGTTTGATACCAGAATTGCAGAAAATAATGAATTTTGTGGACCGAGGTGGCACTGTATATGTAGTGTCATATAAATAATTTGCAAAAGCAACACACAATCTCACTGTGCTCAACACAACCTAACGTGGATAATTCTATTTCCTTTTAAAAGTGCTGCTCTAAACACAATCAATTAAATTCAGAATGCACTGAGATGTTGAAACCTACATTGGAAGATACAGGCACACACTGTGTGGCACACAGTGGGCACGGAGTAGGTGACCCCATGCGTGGAAGTTTCCTACTCCCCAGGCTGAGGTTCACTTTCCGAGCTCTGTGCTGAAGGCGCTTCCCCGGTGTGTTAGTCCCCTCCTGGGACCGCCACAGGGTCCACAAGCTGGCAGCTTCAACAACAGAAGCCTCTTTTCTACTGGTTCTGGAAGTGAATCCATGCTGAAGGTGGGGCAGGGCTGTTTCCAGTCAGGGCCCTCTTCCTGGTTTGCAGAGGGAGTCTTCTCACTGTGTGTGCACATGGCCTTTCTCTGAGCATGGGGAGAGGGAGAGAAAAGAAGAACCAGGAGAAGATGAAGAGGAAGAGGAAGAAGCAGGAAGAGGTGGAGAATAGGGAGGAGGAGAAGAAGAAAAAAAGAACCAAAGAAGCAGAGAAGGAGGAGGAGGAGGAAGACAAGGAGAAAGAGCAAAGAGATTTGTTCTCATAAGGACACCAGTCCTACGGATTAGGGGTCTACTTTACAATCTCATCTGATCTCAGGGGCCACACCTCCTTAAAGCCCTATCTCCACATTTGGCCACCGGGGCTGGGGTTTAACATACGTGTTTGGGGGCCACATTTTGGTCCTTAACACTAGTTTCTCCATCTAAAGTGTTTGATGTGACCACAGCTCCATAATGAATATGAACCACCTGTACTCAAAAGCATTTGCACTCTCCTGCTCTGTCATTGACCCTGTTCCTTTCTCCTCCACCAGACACTGACAGCTTCATAGAGACCATCGCTGAGCATATCCTGCACACACTGAGCATTGAGGATCTGCAGCAACTGCTCACTGAAGATGCCACCTGGGAGATATTGATGGAGAAGACTGATTTGACCAGGTCACCTGTATGGGGCGCCCCAGCAATTCTGCCCAGATACAGCTGCTGTCAGGGACAGACACACCTCCTCCAGGCTGGTCCTGCGGTTGGCGTTCAGGGTGCCCCTCCGCACAGTCCCTGGGAGACATGATCTCCATGTCATTCCCTGGCAGTGAATGGCCTCAGGGTGATGGGACAGGGCACCACAGCAGGCAGTTCCCTGCTGCCAACTGCACGTTATGTGGCCTCTGCTGGTCATTTTACCCCGTTCTCATTTTGTTTCTTCATTGATTGAGTCTCCTTATAAGAAAAGTAGGATAGCGCATGAAAGTGTTTAGCATGTGGCTGGCACACAGCAGGGCTCAAGCGAAGGTAACTGACAGGGCGGGAGGGAGAGAGCAGGGCCGAGCCTGCTCCTTGCAGATGGGAGCCCAGAAGGACTTGCTTGATAAAGTCGTATAAATGTAGACCTCATCAGGGTGTTTCTGGGGTTCTAGTTGAGGCCATTTACCTTTGCATCTGAGGAATTGTACGAACACAACAGGACACTTATTTGTGGTATTTATGCAAAAGACACTTAGTGTGTTCTGCATACTCCAGGCTACCCTTGAATTCCTATAATTACTAGGCTGCTATCGAACTTACCATCCTCCTGCTTCAGCCTCCTGAGGGCTGAGAGGGCCAGTGTGTACCACCATGCTAGGCCAGGATGCAGAGAGCCCACCGTGGAGTAGGATAGAGCTGGGTGGACCCTGGCTGACCATCAGCAGCAGGGCTGCAGGCTGATGCCTGGGAGACCAGGGTTGTGATGTGTTCAGTGGGAGCAGAGATTCAATCTGATAAGACTATAGTGAGCTGAGAGTCAGAGGGGGAAGACAGCTTGCCAGAGGCCCACAGCAACCTGCGACAGGGTCAGAGCTAGGAACAAGGACGGAGCCGACGGAGTCTGAGATGGAGCAGTAATAAGAAGCCTGGAGTTACAGGGCTGGACAGAGTAAGAGAAGGCGGGTGCTGGAGGCTCCAAGCATGGGGAGTCCTGGCCCAGCAGAGGATGCAGTCAGCGAGGGCTTGTTTCCTGCCCTTGTTGTGATCCATTGCAGATAGCTCAGCAGGCTGTGGTGGTGGGTGGTTGTCTCCTTCAAGTGCTGCTGGTCACCAGGGAGTTCTCTGCTCTCTGGGACCCTCTTCTATTCACACAGAGTAGCCCTGACCATCGGGAAGCAGTGGCTTTGTTACAGAGTCCTCAGGTAGAATGGCTGGCAGCTTTGTGTAGTTTGTGAGTCTGAGGACACTGAGAGTCCCCAGCACAGAAGGGACTTACTGTATTATCATATGCAGTTTCAGGGTTCTCAGGCTGTAGATGCAGAGATGGGTCTCAAGGTCTCCCAATTCACTGCACATGGCCTTTGCACAAACCCATGAGAAATGTCACTGCCAAAGGTGTCATTTCAGCATAGGACATCAACAGAAAGGCCCTGGTCAAAGGGTTGAGTGTACATGAGCTGCAGGGTAGGTAGAGAGAATACAGCCAAGGTAAAGGCCAGGTCTCCTCCTTCCCAATCACTTCTAGCACCAGCTGGATTCATCGACCTTCAGTTCAAAATGCAAAGGGCACCAGGCACTGAAATAGAGCAGGCAGGAGACCAACTGACCCTTTTGATCTCTTTCGCCTCAGAGGGTTTACTTTCTATATCATATTACTCAGAGTGAATCACACTGCAGAGTCCAAAGGCGCAGTCTCCCAGACCAGCCTTATTTTTAAAACCAACTGGAAAATCTAAGAACTCCCCAAGACCTCATGCAAGTGTGACAGTTCATTAAAGGGACTCAGAGAATTGCTACAGATGTTTATTCCATACTTACAATGTGTCATGGGGACTGGCTCAGGGTAAAACTTGTCATAGAAATGGATTCAGAGGCCAGAATCTGGCAGGTGTCAAGCATGAAGCTTGTATTTTCTGCAGGACACAGTGTTCCCACATGTGATGTGTGACAATTCACAAGGGGATGCTGGGCTGCAAGGCTCAGCCTGTGAGGGAAACATCACCCTGACGCGTGGCTGAGCAGGCGCTGGATGCACTGGAAAGCCAAGGTCAAAGCCCACTGGAAAGCAGGGTCAGAAGGTCCTCACTAAATTTTGGTCCTGCCTTGTTTTCCAGAGTTTAGGGCTGACCTGGAGGTTCCATCTGCTCCTGGAGGTCAATCTCTTAGTCTGCAGTTTCTCTGGAAGTCAGAATTGATTCCCAACCCCCTGTCACGCATCATATTATAAGGATGGGTATCCAATGTAAGAAATTCCTGGGATTCCTGAGTGTTTTCCATGATAGATGTTTTCTGATTTTGATACATTTGCTGATACATTAACAAATAGCTTTGGAATGTGACTCCAAACAAAACATGGAACTCATTTATTTTTCTCTACACCTTGTACGCACACCATGTAAGTAATTTCATATGATTTTTTCAGTATGATTGTGATTTGATTGTGACCCACCTCATGGGTCAGGCATGAAACTTTCTATCTGTGGCGTCATGTTTATGTCAGTGTTCAAAGGTTTTTTCAAAATTTATGTTTTTGGAGTAGGAATGCTCAGCCACTCTTTTCCCGAAGCAAACACTGACACTCCTAACAGTCAGAAATTCCAGGGGTCTACAGATCACAACCAAGTAGCTGAAGGCAAAGTGCAGGCTTTCCTCTGATTAAGATTAAATCCTCACTGTGCATTAAGATGGTCTGAACTAAGGCCCTCCAACCTATTGTTCCAATTCTCAGTGTTTATCTGCAGAGTTCCTGCGGCACAGATACGTTGCTCATCATGGCATTGACCTTGCATGAGATGGTGCTTTATCAAATAATCACCATTAAAGAGCATCTGAAAATGATGTACAGTCATGGGCCCCTTTATGAAATAATGATATCCAAAAGAAAATTTCTGTGCATCTGTGTAATTTCTTTCATTTGATTATAACGAAACTCTGCCATGTACGCAGGATAGATCTTACAGAGCTCATTTTCCAAACAGAAAAACTGCCTTTCTTAACCGCTGACCTTTACTATTCCAGGGAGGAGGCAGATGCTATGCATGAGGCTCTGATTGAGAAGATCCTTCAGGCCAGGAAGAGGTTCTTGAATGCATTTCCTCATGTGAAAAAGGAGCTGCAGGAGGGCATAGCCAAGCTCTATGCCCTCGCAGAGAAGGTTGACAAGGTGCACAAAGACTGCACCATCACCAACGTGGTGGCCAGTTCTAGTGGTGCTGTCTCTGGCATCTTCACCATCCTCGGGTTTCTTCTGGCACCTGTGACAGCAGGTGGGAGTCTGCTGCTGTCAGCCACTGGGATGGGACTGGGAGCAGCCGCTGCTGTGACTGGTGTTACTGCCTCCATTGTGGATGAAGGAAACAAGTGGTCAGCGCAAGCTGAAGCCAGTCATGTGCTGTCAACCAGCATGGATGCACAGAAGGACATTCTAAAAGTTCTGTTTAAGGTCGGGCCCAAAGTTGCTGCTACAGCCATAAAGTGTAAGAAAGCCATCCAAGGCACTGATAAAATCATCCATGCCATTAAGGAGGCCAGGTCCAACCCTCAGTTACTAGCTAATGCCAAACGCCTCATGAGAACTGGGAAAATCTCAGTCAAAAGTGTTGAGCAGGTACAGAAAAGCCTTGGAGGCACTGTTCTGGCAATGACCAAACGTGCCAGGATCAGGGGTGGAGCAATGACAGGTGTCTTCCTTCTGTGGGATGTGTACAACATTGTGCAAGACTCAGTGCATTTGCAGGAGGGGAAAGAGACAGAATCAGCTGCAGAGCTGCGGAAGCGGGCTCAGGATCTGGAGAGGAAGCTGGAGGAGCTCATCCAGATCCATGAGCGTTTGCAGGTGGACCTGACTAAGTGACAGAGGCCCCCAAGCAGCACAGAGATCAGGGCCCAGGTGCATTTCAAGCACATAGACAAAGGCAGGAAGTGCTGCAGAGGGGAAAAGAGGGTGAGATCAAGTCTATGCAACTGTGTGTTCAGGAACTGTGCATTTCTGCGGTTGAATCCAAGCAGGGAGGGTTTCATGCAGATGAAGTGAATTAAAGAGAAGGCAGGGCCCTGGGGAGTGACATAAAGGAGAAGCAGTGACTATAGAGGGTGGGAGATAGGAGGAAAGAGTTTCTTTTGTCATAAGGATTCCCTGGTGACCTGGATAGAGCCAGCTGCAGGAAGAAGCGGTGGGAAGTTGCGGCAAACAGAAGAGCAGAAGTTGGGAGTGGCACGGTTAGAACTGTTTACATAAGGAAGAAGAAACAGGACTCCATCCTACATTTCACACAATCTGACACCCAGCAACACTGCAATCTACCCTTCCTGGCTTGTGTTTCTTTCTTTCCAGTGTCAATAAATGCTTATCTCAGTCAGGCAGTGAGTTTATGATGATTATGTTGCTGATGACCGTGATGATGATGGTGATGGTGATGGTGTTGATATTTGCGATGTTGTTGGGGGTGCTACTGTGATCATGGTGCTGATGATGGTGATGCATATGGGGTGTGGTGACAGTAGAGTTGGTGGAGGTGGAGCTCGTCACACCTGGCCAGCTCAGCAGAGTTGAGGAACACACCAGGAAGCTGGCGGTGTGTGGAGAAAAACCAGGGAGGCCTGAAGAGAATCTGCCTCTCTGAATCTCACTGTCCTCATCCCTTGGGGAAGGGATTGCTGGACAAGGGATATCTCAGATGTGTCTCTCCTTCCTGTATTCTATTCTGCCATGAGGCCAAAGAAAAAAACATCCAGGAGTACAGAGTCTAGTCTTTATTGGGAACCAAGAGACAGAATCCTGGTCCAGGGCAGCAGCAAGCCCAGTGCATTCCGCTACTTGGGGCAGAGGGAGGTGCTGACACAATAGTCAGGACAGAAGTAACTTCACCCAAGACCGAATACACCTTGTCTGACCTCAGCCAAACAACACACACGTGAGAAGATACATTCTGGCACCGATATTACTACGATCTGAGAGTAAAGTCTCACAGGCCACTCTAACGGTTATGTGTAGCTATGGTATGCTGGAAAATTGTGGAGGGTAAAGAGGTAAGGGTTACTCAGGAGGAATCACATTCGTTACATGTCAAGATCCCTGTGGTTGGGTCAGGATGGTCCCCATAGTGACACATGAGCCTTCGCTGCCCTGACTGACTGCCTCACCTGTGAACCCCTTCTCTGATTTCCTTTTCTTGTGAACCTTCTCCCAAAAGGTCTCACAGTGTTAGCTAAAAGGCTGTTGACATAGCTCAGGGTGAAGGCCCTGGGTTTAATCTCACTATGGAAAAAATGAGTTGCCCTTATCCTAATTATTCATTTTACGTGATCTTGAAATAATAAACACTATGACCTTATTCATTTTAAGATGTATTGTTTAATGGTTGTTTTTTTCAATTATTGGCTTATAATAAATGACAGTGCAGTTGAATAAAGTCATTTCTAGAAAAATATTGTTCCTCCAGAATAGCAGCTCTTAAACTTATTGAAGGATCAGATATTTCATTTTTTCTTTCTCTTTTTCTAGACATGTCTTGATAGTTCATCACAAAGAGTTTTCATAAAGCAACAATCTATGAAACACATTTAATAGACCCAAATATGTTCTGATAGATTTTAAGAAGCTAAGAGTACTTGAAAGTGTTTTGATATTTTCACTTAGTTTTAAGCAATGTATTTCTGTATTTGTATCACATGCATTTATAAAGTATTCTCTTATTATACTTTCACAACTTATTTCTGGCCATTAGTTGTAGCTTACCCACCAAAGATGAGACATGAGATACACATAGTCAATATTTTAGGCTGTTTAGTTTCCCTTGAGACATTAATGGTAAGTGAAATAAACCTGTTATGGTTTGTACCTGAATATCCCCCTGAAAGCCTCATGCAGTCATGGGGAACAGGATTTTCTGAGGTAGCTGAATCTAGAGTTTATGATTATTTCCTTGTCTAGTGCTTGGATTGGGGATGTGAGTGCTACACCCACCCGCGGCCAGGTAGCCTGCATACAATATAAGGGAAGGGAAAGAGGCTTAATCTTCCCTTTTTGCTCTTGTTGCTTTTGGTATCTTCCACTGCCATGAATGGTTGCCCCTCTGCCATAACACTCTGCCTTGGTACCAGCTGATTATGGACTGAAACCTTTACAAACTGTCTGAGCTAAACACACCTTTCCTTCTGTAATTTTGTGTGTAGTGTATTTTGTCTCAGCAGTGAGAGAAAAGTAACTAAGACAACACCATGCACACAAGATTAATATCATGTAGTTTCTTTTAATATGAGAAACTCAAAATAAAAATGAAGACTAAAATAAAAGGTAGGTTATAGGAAACAGGGAGGTCTTCATTTTGTGATATCTTGAAATGATGAACAATACGACATATCTTAAACTTTATTCTTTAAAGAGATTTTTCTAAATTATTGGCTTCTGTTAGATGACATTGTAGTTGGTTAAAGTCTTCATCTCTAGAAACATATTTTCCCTCTAGAATAGCTACTCTTAAACTTACTAAATGAGAAGGATCGCAGATTCCTTCATAGCACAGCAAAAATTCTTTCCATAAATCAATAATGTATGAAACATATTTAAGAAACTGAAGCTGGGTGTGCTGGCCCATGCCTGTAATTTCAGCACTTGGGAGGCTGAGACCAGAGGATTGCCATGATTTCGAGGCCAGCCTGGGCTGTGTAGTAAGTCCAGGCCAGTCTGAACTACATAGTAAGACACTGCCTCCAAAAAAAGTTCTGGTAGATTTGAAGAAGCTAAAAGTACTTGAATTTATACTTTAAAATGTTTTGGGACTTTTAACATCATTTCAAACTACTGAAGTGTTTTACTTGTACCACCTATATTCATAACCTTTAATTTTCTTTATACTTAAACAACTTCTTTCAAACAGTCACTCGTAGAATACCCACAAGATTTGTGACATTAGATGCGTATTGTCCGTATCTTAGGTTATCTCTTTTCCCTTGAGAGCATTATGGTAAGTGAAATAAACCAGACACGCAAGTTTAAATAGCACATGGTTTCTTTATATGAGAAACCCAAAATATAATAAAGAGAAATATGAAAGATAGATTGTAGGAAACAGGGAGATAGATCTTTTACAAAAGAGAAGGAGACCAAGAGATGAACGAAGGGAAGAGGGGAGGGGAAGAGGATGAGAAAAGATTGAAAATGTTTTAGGTTTCTGCATCCCCTCTGATGAGGTATACAATCATTGTGCATTGTAAGCGTGTACTAATAAAAATAAACATTGTGAAATATTATTTTCACTGGAGGAAGGAATCTGAAAACTGTTTTACTTAAGGCATAGCAACAATAGATGTCATGCTTCAAACATCAAAATACACTTCTGATTGCTTAGTAATGCAGGGAAAATATATGCTAGCAGAGAGCAACCCTTTCTTTTTCTCTCACAAATCTAATTTAACAGATTTATGGAAGTCTAGCAAGTAAAAAGAAATTTGTGTTTGTTTTTTGAATTATGCTCATTTAAATGTATATTATCTTGGTGCAATGTAAATACACATATAAAAATAACATGTAAGACACATGGGTACACAAACATATATGCATACAAAGATTGTGCAGTTTTAAAGTAGATTTGCTATTTACCATCTCTTAAAGGTTAAAGTATTGATCTGATTCCTTTTTTCATACTCCTAAGCAATTCTTAATGTTAAATTGTACCTCTGCTGGTATTGTCACTCAATATAGTCTGAGGAGGTTCTGAAAAGTGCACACGGGGAATCTCAACTCATTCCAGCAACAGGGTAGGTTCTAGCTTGGTGATTTCCATGAAGGAAAAATAATTTTTAAGACACGTATAAGAGGGGTATAAGAGACGTTTGGGGCAATATGTAAAAGTACCTACTCGGAGGAGAGTGTGGGCCCACAAAAGAGACAGGTGAATGAATCATCAGGGTTGGGGTTATTGTGGGTTTGTAGGAGTTCTCAAGATGCCTGATCTAGGATGTGTATTCCTACTGTCTCTCAAGTTTACCAATCTGGCTGGCTATGTTACTCAAAGCACTGAAGCTGAGCTATGCTGCCCCTTTAAGAGTGTGCCTTTATGAGCACGGGGACTGGAGGAGGGAGCCGACTCACAGGCAAAACGATGGCCCCAGAATCAGTGACAGGCAAAGGCCCAGAACCCAGTTTACAGGCTTATTGCCTTACAGACGTTTTCTGCATGAGTTCCCTGGAAGCGAGGTAGGTGGGGCAGTGTGTGACCCTGAATGCGCAGAGGATAAAGAAGATTACACAGAGCTGAGATGATGTTCAGTCACCAAGAACCAGGAGGGGCTACTTCTTGGGCAATAGAGAGCCTCAGGGAAACAGCAAGCAACTGAGACCTCTCTGGCTCTTTATTTGTAACTCAAGGACAGGAGAGCACAGAGATACAAGAAAAGCATTTTGCAACTCTCTCAGTTACTTTCTTCTACTTGCTGAGACAAAAGACCGGACACTCAAAGTTAAAAGGGAAAAGGTTTATTTAGCTCACAGCTCATAGAGGTTTCAGGCCATACTCCTCTGGCTCCAAGGCACAGCGGCAACCCTTGGTGACAGTGGAAGACAGCAAAAGCAACCAGGGAGAAAGACACAAGCCTCTTCCTGTCCTTTACATCGTATCCAGTGTCCCAGGATTAGATGGTGCCAATGCAGTCAGTGCACTGATCAAGCAATCACTCACCCTTAATCCCAGCATGCTTGATCCCAGCATTGCACCACAAATCCCTCACACACTCTGGATTCAGCCCTCTGAAAAAACCCTATGACTGAGTGAGGCTTTGTGAAGACATGTACATACAACCCATACCATTCTTCTCCTGGGTCCCAAAGACTCATTCACATCCCTTTATGCAAAAAGACATTTAGTCCATGTCCAAGAATTGCCAGAGTCCTAACAGCTTCAGCGTTGCTGAAAAGTTGAAGTCAAAAGGCTCCTCTGAGATTTAAGGCAAATGCTTAGCTGTGAGCCCTTGTACAAATGAAAAGAAAGTCAAACACTTCCAAAATTCAATGGCCCAAAATAGACATTTCCAATAGAAAAGTTACAAATAGGGGAATAGAAAGGAATAGAATCAAAAGAAATCCAAAATCCAGCA